CATGTCGAAACGGCACACCAGCGTGGTTGGATTCAGTTATGCGCGTCCGTGACTGTAATAAGTGAATCTATCTTCAAGGATGGCTGGTCGGTTGTAGACAAACTGCTTTACAATGACTCTGCGGATGGCTGTTTAAATTGCCCTTACATGGCTTAGCATGTGGAGGCATATTGCAAAGGGTCGATCACAACAACAACAGACCGGTAGTTTCAAATCGGTTTAGCTGCATTTCAACAGGCAGAAAATCGAGATTCAAGACATCGATTGCCAGGTGAGCTGTATATTTGAAAGCAGTTAGGGCCAATGACGCCATGAAATGATGGCACACTAATCCTCCCAGCAAACACTGCCTCACGATTGCTTGTTTTATTGAATGCTGGGAGGTTGTCACATATTGCGGTGGAGGGCATTGTCCTCCTGAAGCGATTTCCCAATAGCCAGCCGAATAAGCGAGCGAACACTAGCCTTAGTGGGGCGTGAAAACTAAACTTTGCTTGGCACCGAACCATGTACTGACGCGTCTGTCCGTTGAAGTTCCACAACATCGGCTAACACTGACTTTCCCTAATCCGACGTCGGCCCAGTCAAACCCAGTGAGAGCCTTCATATCTCACTAAAGAACATTACAAACGATTTATCCAAATCTCGATTGAATTTCCCGGTCAAACCAATCAATATGTGAACACATAATTCAACATCTGGCGGAGCAATCCACGAGTGCGTAACCGGATAAAGGCACTTTAAACCAACGGAGGCAGTGTGCCAAACCCGAACGCAGCTAGCAAATCCAGTCTACCAGTGCTAAGAGTTCAAAACTCTCTCTCTTTCTTAGGGCGAACACGAGTATCACGGACAACGCGCGATTCCGAAAAATGAATCAAAGATTAGGGTCAGATTGTAAGCTGACCCAATCCAAAAGACCTGACAGGCGAACGCAACCCAGAATGTACACAGCTACGGAAGCCAAGCGAATCGAAATAAGGACCGCGTTTGCTGATATGTGTATAGGCCGGAACTAACGTGAGGGATTTAGGCCCTGAAGTTTGTGTGGAACAACTACCACACTGCTAAGAGGAAATACCATTTCCGACTCGCACAGTCAATGCGCGTGCGGAAACCTGAGAGAAATGAAACCAAGAACATTGTCCACTTATTCTAGTAAAAATAGTCCATCAACCAAATGAAAACGGCCAAGCGACGGCAAGTCTAAAATATGCTGATTGGAGAGAATAAAACTGTGCATCTTCAGGAACGCAGGGCTAGGCAGAAAACAAAGAAAGATAGATAGATGTTTTCCAGGAAAATTTCCATTTATGACGATTCTGCGGCGAGGGGAGGTTGCAGAGTGAAATGGGCACACCGATTTCACATCACAATAACCGGCTCGTGAGACTCCACCTCCGTTATAACATATGTGGCCAACTTTTGTTTGGTGAGGTAAATTTAATATTGAATGAATCAGTGAGTTACTGGGAGTAATCACTGAGCATCATTTGGATGGATCTCTTAGTTGGAGACGGATAAAAGAGGAACAAAACAGATCTTTTGAACGACAACGGGTACAGGTCATCTTGAGGGGCGTGAAGAAAATTTTGGGGCGTCTTCTCCGATATTTTTGAAGCCATCAGTGTGTCGGGAGAATACGGGTATACAGCATCCGAGCTCAAAAGTTGCTCAGGCGACATGTGGCTATCCAGCTTAACATCACAGGAGTAGCGGTTGAGCTGCCTCGAAGTAGGCTTTTTGAAAATCACAGGGAGTGATCATGAAGCTCATGGTCAATCAGGTCTGAAAACTGTCTGCATCGCGAGGACAACTTCGGAACCAATGTCCTGAAAATGGAGTCGGTTACATCGTCATTTTTATGGCCACTATCGCCCAACTTAGCTATCCGTAGCTCAGAACTCAGGCCAGCATATCTGTTGTCATCGTGAGATGCGAGATGGCTCAAGTGGGTAGAGCATGAATTTACTAACCGGAAGGTCCGTGGTTCGAGCCCGACCTCTGCCTCTCGACTTCCCCCTGTCTAGGCTTGGGCAACGTGGCAGTATCTCAGCCCCCGTGTCTCTTTCGAGTTGCGTGGCAGCTAGGCACCGAAAGGGTGCTACAGCTGAGCGGTTTATTTATTATATTTATCTCTGTTGTCACCATAACCAGGTGCCAAATAGTTCCTACCAGCCTAAGAGCAGTACGGATGAAAGAATGTGTAGGAGCGAACAGTCGCCGCATCAGATTACCTAAGTATTCCCTTAGTATCCGGCGGCCTGGTCAGCATTGCTACGCACCGTGGCAACATTACAAATGTGTAGATGCCACTTACGGAGAATAAAGGGTTTCACTGGTTAAATTGGTCTGGTGATCACAGCCAGCCACCACGTTTCAGGCAGAAGTTTCGGTCGTTGGTACGAGAATTGAGTCATTCTCTTCTAGAAGGGAACTACTCATAAGGTTGCTGAAAACTCTTTGATAGCCCACCAACGCCCTTTTTCTGGCCTATCAGCTAGGCGCAGTCCCTTATGTTTTAATTGGATCCAAGTAGCACAAAACCCAACAAATAAGCTCATTTACACAGCAATTTGGTTTCAACCGAGAACTCAGCAGAATCCCTCGTTTACGATGGTACGCCATACCTCTAGTATCGTACCAATGATCCGATAGACAGAATAGATCCATTTAGCTATCTTGTTCGCGGTCATCGTGTACATTCCGCCAGAGTGTGCAGTGAGTGCAATGATCCTACAAACGCTGCTGAATTTGAAGTAAGTAGTTAAGGGGGTTGCAGAAAAGTCGGAAACCGCGGCCCAAATTTCGCCACAAAAAGATTAGTGGTCAATGGCAGCCACGGTGTCTACAACGTTTGCGGATAATCTATAAGTCTCTAACACGAGTAAAACATAACACATGGAAAATTATGGCTCAACAAATTCTATACGCAAAGATCTTGAGAGACAGGTACTCAAAAGCAGCGCAAACTCGTGAGTAAGAGTACTAAAAGAAGAAATCTAACAACCAATGCATAGAATTAGATCCAAACTATGCACCCTTATGGAGCAAGGGCCAACACGCCGGTAAGTCTGGTCAAATAGGGCAGAACATGATATCATATAGCAATTGTTAGAAACTGCTGCGGTTTAAAGCTGACAGAAGTCACTGCGAAAGAATTGCAGGAGAGCAATCCAAACGTCATCTGAAACCGACCAACTGGGATCATCATCCAAACTACCACCAATAGGAAATTCAAGTCAATCACGGTGAGCGCATGGTGTGAACGATTAGCGCGTGCCCTAGGTACACTGGAAATATTAACATGAGAGGAGCTGAGACGTCGCACTCTAGGAACTAAATAGCGTTGAAAGAAACAACCTTCTTTCTACGCTTGAATGTACGTTACAGGTATTTCAAACAAGGCGATAGAACTCAAGCGACTTAAGCATTAAATGAATTCTCTTGCAGTCAAGTGCACCGCAGCTGACGTCAGTCGCTCACACATTCGAGGCGGGCGTAGTTAGAAGAAATGTTTAGAGTCCCCTTAAAACAACTGAAAGTGATGTGGCCAAAGAAGCCTAAACAAGACGAAAGGGCCACAGGGTTTCCCGGGTTTTCTTGTGAAAGATGTATCCCTCCAGAAAGACACAGTAAAAACGACCTAGGTTCCGGTAAGCCAAAAAAGCTAGCACTTTAGGAGCAGTGGACTTTCTGACGTGAAGTAACCTCTGCTGATAGATGTTCCACCATGAAATCTTCCAACCGGATAGTGTCAGTTTGTATGTGGGGCTTAATGACCGGAAAAACAAATCGATGGGACAGTCCACACATGAATACACGAGACTCAAACACAACACCTCTCGGAGCCTCACATTAGCATCCTTCGTCTGTGTTCGATGGCCGACCTGTTTCACAGACAAAACAACCAAACATCATTCTTTGTTGACAACTTTCACATGAACTGCGGATCCAGTTCGCACACATGACAATGCACAATGAAGTCGATCAATTAACTAGAATGCACGGACGAGTCCTCATCTAATTTGTATACGAAGTAGAATATAAACAGTTCATTGTTGGAGAAGGTGATAATTCTTTTTCTGTTGCTTTTTCGAACTTCTCTGAATAATACAAATGGACCAGGTGTCCAAACCGAAAAGGACCACGGTTGTCTGCTGTAGAAAAAAAGCACCGAAGCAAACATACAACCGTCTTGCAATTACCAAGGTCAGTAGATACCGATCACACAAGAACATTATAGTTTGCTGACCAGCCGACGGATTTTAGTTTCGTGTTCTGACAGGTCCAGCACAAGAATAAACCTGATTATGCTTGCAATCGACGTTCGGGAGTTCCACAGTGAACTGTATCTGATCTGGAAACGGATTACAAAGTATCAGAGAGTGAACAACGGAGGCTGCTCAACGTGAGCAGGTTGAGTGAACAGTAGTAATTTCGAATAGCCACGCTGGGAGTGGTTTTGGGACTTTGTTTTTCATTGTCCATTCATTTGATTTACAAAACAAGGTTAGACAGCACACGACCTGGAGTTCCAAAATCTCGGTGTTCATTGGGACGAGAAGTCAGAGAATATCCATAAAAAAATGGCGCGGGAGGTTCGCAATCCAGCGATCGTGTGGAAGAACCATAGAAGTATGCTCAGTAGATATGACTGAATAGGATTCTGAAATAACCGAGCTATTGGAACCGGGTTGCCTAGCTCCAAGGAAGTAGCGATGAGTGTTGTTGTTGTTGAGGGAGGAAAGAAATAACTCATTTCCATAAAGGAAACTACTCACAAGGTTGCTGAAAACTATTCGGCTGCCCACGACCGGTTTCGCCCTTCTTGGGGCTCATCAGGTAGCGGCAGTCTCCGAGTTTTCGTCAACCTTATGAAGAACATCATAAACGAGAGATTCACTTGAGTCTCCCGTGAAAACCAAATTGGTTTGCAAATGGGTGTATTTTTCGCAGCCCGTTTCCAGTCAGGAAATGTATCAGTCATCTTTTGGTAGATGCATTTTCAGTGGTTCTGCTATAGTGGCATTTCGACCGTTTTATGGAAACATTTTCCACTGTTCATGGAAGAAGTAGCGATAGGGAAGCCTGGCGTTGAAGCCCACGCAAACCTTGGTAAGTAAATATATGAACGAACGAATAAATAGGGAATAGACAGATGCCCACGAAAGTGTAAAAACGGAACCATGAGATAATAGCAATGGGATGTTAACTAAAGAATAAGGCATAGAATTGAATGGAGTTGAACCACCCGATATGGCCGGGGTCCATGAAGAGGCATAGTTTTCAAATCTCAGTTTTACTTCAGTAGAGCTTACTGCCGTGCAACATTTCGATTTCAACATAAGGGCTTGGCTTCGTATCAAACAGTCTGGAGTATGGAATGAGTCGGTATTGGTGTACAAACATACTTAAGCTCGCTCAATGTGACCACAAATCTCCAGTCTCCGAAAGAATGCGGGTTCGCCCACCTACGAACCGGATGATTCACCTTCATCAAGATGGTCACACAGATAGTGCAGTGCGTTGAGTACTAAAGTGACATGTGAACTGATCGTGCAGATAAAGCATGGATGTAAACGATACCGATAACCACACACAAACAGAACTGTGGGTGGGATGGGACGACCACAGGGTGATAAGTGGGCATTAGGCAAAACACGGACAGTGACTGCAGTGAGTAGATTGAGCTGGTATAGCTAGTGGAGGCAAACTATTCGAAAGCCTCAATATTTCAGTTGAACGAGTTACTTTGGAGCGATAGAAGCGGGCGTATGCTTCTAAGGAGCAGCACTTGTGACTTTTTGGCCGAGGTTACTGTTAAAGAAGGTTCCAGTAGGCTAGAAAGATAGTGACCAAGTCTGATGCATATTATCAAAAGGGTATTTTAGTGTCTAGAAGTGCAGTGTCTTGTAAGGTGGAGGCATGGGATCGAACACGGACAAAGAAAATTCGGGCTAACATGCCCTCAACAGGTAAATTCAGCGATGAAACAAATGGACACACCACACCGGAGATTGAGCTGGTCTTTGTTCCAAGACTACTCGAAGGCCTTTACCTCTGAAGGTGGTTGACCTGAAGCAAGAAACGAAGCTTTGTGCACAAGAGGAATCGACAGACACTTCCTTCTAGGGGCGCGAGGACAAGTGAAAATGTTTACGAAACCGTTTATTTCCTTGTTCGCCGCGTTAGCTCAAGGTGTAGTAATCTACATGCTTGTACCAGTCCAGCTGAGACCAAATATTTGGATTACAAAGCAAAAGTATTCCAATCACATTGTCTAACTCGATTTACAAACTGTTATTGGCCGAATCAGTTACCACACATGACTCATCAGACTTGTGGCCAAAACATACATAAAAGAGTTCTTCGCCACACAAGCAATGAGTATCCCTTCGCATAGATGATGAAAGCAACTAGTCGATGCGTTTCAATACCGAGAAGCTAAAGAGGAGATTCGGCCTTGTATCGCTGCAACAAGATACGCCTTTATGCGTTTATGAAAACGGTATGGAGAGATGAAACCAGGATGCACACAACAGATTCGTGCAGCCAAAACGACAGTTGACCCACTTTTTAATCACGGTTGTGACGGTTGGTCGCTTCGAGTACATCTACAAACTCAACGTTTTCGAATCTCCGTAATCAAGGAGCAATCCGAACATTAGACAACTCGGAAGCTATTCAAGTCGGCGGTTGTGGAACGTTTCACGCAGCAGCGACAATTACATTGGTTTGGTCACGTTGCCCAAAAACCCGGAGATGAGCTTTAGAAACTTGCGGTAGTTAGTTCGCCATGTCCGAGGTGATGCATAACGGCTGAGAATCTGAAACTCCACCGTCAAGTTAGAAGTGGATGAGTTCGGTCTTAGACTGTCACAAGGCATCCGTTGCCAGAATGGAAAGTGAATATCGATTTGTGAGGAACTAATCTGTAACCGTCGTTCGTGAGCAGGACATCTGTAAAGTGACTCATCCTGTCGCCGTAAAGTAAACTGAAGTAAAGTAGCCAAACCCAGCTTATGTGAGGACGAGAGTAGTGAGGGCTCTCTCCATAGGATTGCTGGCATATGTCTAATGACTTTTGGCAGGCGCAACGAACTTACGGTTGAGAAACAAGCCGTATTCTACAGAGTAAGCACGTTGCATGTCAGAGCCACGTTTTCCTATCAGCCATGTGCTAAGTGAAAACGATTCAGAGCATGCACCTGGGGGCTCAAACGGGTAGTCAAAAGCCTGCCTGTGTGGTAACTACCGTGTTCCGCGCGCGCCTTTTCTTCCCGTTTCAAGGGAAAAAATCCGCATTTTTACCATAAAAGCTTGACAGCTGTAGTATCTGCGGAAACAAAGTGCGACCATTTCCTTCCGGTTTCGCGTATCGTTCGTAAATAAAAACTCGGACTCGAGATCCAATACACGCCGCTTTGGTAGGACAAGCGGTTGATTATTGGTCACAGAACACAATCCAAAATTCGGTTTTACCCACGTAAGCTAAATGACGATACAGTACAACTGTACTTGCGGAAAATAACCGGACAAATGAGGAATTTCAGAGATGTAGGGTGGGCACTTCTCGCAGGGAGTAGCTACTAAAATGGGGTTACCAGAAAAACTGTAGCCAGAAACTTCTGGGAAATAGAGGAGTTGGGCCAAAAATTCAGGGATTGGAGTAAACTTTAGAGATTATCACTTGAATGGAGTTTGATAGACCATAGCTATCAAATAAGGAACGGCACATTGGGTTATTTGAAGAGGCTTAACAGGTCACAAGTTCACCTGAAAAGCGAGCGAATATCACACTGTGACTGATAAAATGATATTAGCTTTGGAAAAAGCTGATGGATACAGACAGCTGCTCTATATTCCCATGGTATCAGCTGTTGCCTGTCCATATTGGTGCGTGGTCGATCGAGCAGACACTCAGACAACTGCTTCCAAATTTTCTGGAGCATCGTTCAATTTGTTTACTTTTCCTTTGGTCCCAACGGTTTTGATCGCCTCACCATTCTCCTCCTCCCCGACAAGTCGAGAAAACCTACCTTCATAAGAGGAAGATCGTGTTTCATAACGCTCAGTTGGTCCCACTCGACCGCTTTCCCACGCTTCCAATGAGATCCAGACTAAAGAGCAGCGCCAAATTTAAACACGGTTGCAATACAGTTCAACTGGACAGTCCCCTGGACCAAGTAACCAGGTAGTGGTTTGTGAATAAACAAATGGAAACCACTGTTTCTTGAGAGCATCGGCAGAAATCGATGAGGATTGGGATTGGACAACAGAAAGACATTAGGACACCAAATTCCAATGTTAAATTAGAGTGAACAATACATACTTGCATCCCCGATACTAAAGATGAGCGTCTCCACCCTTGGTTTGTCGTTGACCAATGCCAAGAACCAAATACCTTCGTCCAAGTAGTGAATGCGCGCGGTTTCCCGAGCACCACCCTACAGTAATAAATAGGACATGAATGAACATTAAATAGAGCGAAAAAGTAACAGGCAGGCACCAGGACCGCGCGAAAACTGCAGTGTGGAAAAGGACGATTGTAGAGGACCAGTAATGCGCTTGATAATACCACGAATAAACCATCAAGTGCTCCATTTAAAAAAAGAACAACCGTCCAGAATCATGTGACGCTTGTCAAGGTTCCGTTGTTTCACGCTTGAGCGCCTACAGGTACACATGAGTAGTGAAAACCATGCTCCTACGGACTAGATGGCAGAGGCGATGAGAACAAAAGCAATCGTGTTTCAAGCTTAACTCTCGAAAAACCAATGAGGATAGGGTATTGAAAGTGTTTAAGGCAGAAATATGTGTAGGGGTCTGAAAGTTCCGGATAGCCCTCGACCTAAGTTGCTATACGAAAGTCACCCCATACTTCAGTTGACACGATATCCGAGAAATCGTAGTATACTTTCTTGAAAAAGCACTATTCATAAGGTTGACAAGAATTCCTAAGAAGTCCGCGGCCAGTTTAGCCCTTCCACTCCGGGCTCGTCGGGTAGACATAGTCCTCGAGTTCTCGTCAACCATATGTTCAATTTGGATCCCTATTGTACGAAATTCGCTAGATATTTGCATACCAATATGATTTTAACGCGAAACTCAACTGAACTCCAGCTGAATCGCTTAGTGTTCCTTCAGGAAAATATACTGCGATATCTCGATTATCGTACCAATTGAAGTGCGAGGCAGCCTGTTGTAGCGCATTCAGTCGAAGAATACCACGAATGAGGGTGTCAGTTGAATCACCCGGTAAATCAAGATGATGTATTTGGCGAATTTCGTACAATACAGGTTAGAGAAGAACATTTCTAAGGGTGTTTCAGATTACACTGATGTTTGTTGAGGTTGGCTGTTTTTCGGAACGTCTCCTGTTTTCTACCAATCAAACTTCATTGAAGCGTTCCACAAGTAATACATTCGATCAATTTTATAAAATAAAGTTATTAACATTCTTCTGCATTATCCGAGGAGAATTAATCTTCGTAAAAACACGTCTGCGCAACATCTGCTGAATTTGGTGGTAGATGCTACCACATACGTGAATACGGTTTCTAGAACGCCTAGCAATACACATCTGTGGCGTGACGGCTGTAATTTCGGACGTACAGCCAACAATTGCAGAGTTTTCTGGGATTATATCTTGAGGACTCGGCGAATTTCTTCAACAAAATTTGAATTCCTGTTTTGTAGACTGAAAACACAACAGAATCCTACAAACCCGTCCCGTTTGTCCAACAGTAGTTGCGTGCAGTAGTTTTCGTCAGAATTTACGAAATTTGGCTACCTATTAAAGTTGGATTTCAAGATGAAGAGCCGTCGCAATGAGGGATGAAAGGTTGTCATTATATCGAATTTCAAAGCCATTTATAGAAGCATTCATTCTTTTTCGGACCACGGAAGTTAGAGTCGGCCGTTGATAAGAAATCAGTCAACAGTAAGGACGCACAGATCCCTGTCTGTTGGCTCGGCGGAATATTCACTCATTCCGAGCAGTCGTAGTGCGGATTCATTGACAACTTGTCACACCCGTGACTATGTGTGAACTTCCAATTACAATCGAACGAAGCGCCTTATTTCATCCCCAGGTATCGTATGCTCTGGGTGATTCTTCAGTGGACGACGTAGCACCCAGCAGCGTAGTAGCAGGGGTTGCGAAAATGAAGCTGATACTACGATGCTAAGTCTATTAGCTTGTGCGAACACTCATGGTAGTCGGTTTGTCTTTCACCGTCGGTGATGGTAGCGATGCGGAAATCCTCAGGACTTTCAGTGAGCGTGCCAGTACGCAGTCCTTTTTACGACGCACACTACGCTGGCCCGACGATTTGGGGAATAGGCATTTCGGTAGGATTCACAAGTACCTTATGGCCGATGTACATTGTAACCAGGACTGTAGGCGCCCTACAGGACAGAAGAGCCCAATTTATAGCTAGACGGACGCCTTGGATTGCGATGGTCGCCTTAGTGAATAAGGGCTTGTGCGAGTCAAAACTCCCTCGCATGAAGAGGAATCTATCGCCATCGGACGGTGGATGGAAGAATCGTAACGGCTTCTGGGACGACAACACAGCAAACTGTCGGCGCGAAACATCTGGCGGACAAGCCTCCAAACGAAGTAAAGACTCAGCCAGTTAGAGCCAACTGGACAAAACATACTCACTCAGTTACCATTTCAACCATGAGTGAATGACTCGTCAGGTGGGTGACATGGTGCTTCAAAAATGTCGGGTATATTCCATTGAGAAAAATCATTTTTGCCAGACCGCGGATACTACATAAGTTATCAAAGCGAAAAAGAGTTGTCTCTGCTTAGCTGAAGGGGACGAGATGGCTCAAGTGATTAGAGTGCAAATTTACTGATCGGAAGGTCCGTGGTTCGAACCCGACTTCTGCCTCTCGACTTCCCCTGTCTAGGCACGGACAACCTGGAAGTATCTCAGCCCTCGTGCTTCCTTCGGGTTGCATGGCAGCTAGGCACCGATAGGGTGTTCCAGCTGAACGATGACGATGGCCAGCTTAGCTGAAGAGTAACTTCACTGCGCACAGGTGAACATGAGCTCTCAGAAGGGCGAAGTACAGAAAAATGCATGTCGGCGTCGGACGCCACTATCCCCCATGCAGCAGAGAGAGCATCCGAGTGAACGCCCAAAATATCGCTAGTAAAAAGAACAGCCTATAAAAACCGAAGACTGGATGTCCTTAGGAACTTTGTGCTAATGACAACCAGAACGGAGCCGAAAACTGTTGTAGTCTGAGATCCTAAACCGTCCGACCGGCATTGGAAAACTACAGTTGGAAAAGCGAGTGTAACAGTGGCCTAGCTACGTCTTTCCATTTAATTGCTCCAGTAGAAGCTTTCATATGAAGTTCAACCATCTAATGCCAAAACAGAAGCTGGATGTAGAAGGACTAGCTGCATACTTTATCCTGCTACTTAACCGGTACGGAATCTTGTGGAATGACGTTGACAATAGGCAATTGAAGGCTTGTATCCGATTGCCTAGGTTATCCTCCTCCCTTTGATGAACAGTAATGAAAGAAACCCGTCAGCAAAACTGTGATCGAATGCTTCATAGTGGTGTCCACAACACAAATGGGCAGCTGAATGGGGTGCAGTTTGTACGAATCATCACAGCCAAACGACCGGTTGGGTAGATAAAAGGTGTTACCAGTGTTTTGGCAATAAACAGGGTGAGAAAGTCTTAAAATTTGCTGTGAGGGTTAGCATTCATTATGGAGACAATTTCATTCAATGATCGATTTCGACCAAAAGTGACTGCGTCGGTTTTGGTGCTAGGTATCCGCGCAGATGGGGGTAGACGTATTCGTATTAGAGAGACTAAAATAGTCGGAGAATTGGACATGGCCTCTTGTGTAATTGGGGGTGAAAATTAGGATGGAGCGATGCTTATCAAAAATTTATTTTCTCAGCCAGAATTCAACTTATTGGCTAGTGCATTCTGACCAAATGAACACCCGCTGAGAGTCACAATGACAGTTGTTCTAATTAATATTTACTGAACCAGCAATAAACATAAACAGATGACGGCTTTGATAAAATGACCAGGTCGATATGGGACTGTGCGTAAGAGCTTATTTTTGACCACCCCGGGAGGCAATAAAAAAAGTGGTAGGAAAGAAAGGTCATCACACGGACGGAAACAAACTAAGCGGGCGCCTACTTACAGAGGCAGTATGCGTGCGGTAAGACGGAGTATCTTCTGGCGATCGTTTCACTCGCTTATCTTTTCGCTGCTGACGACTGGTGGGGCTGATAGTACGACCACTGATCCGATCAAACAGGTCGTAGTTCACAATTGTTGGCATTGTACTGCGACGCATGAACAATCCGACGGATGTGAGTTCAGAGCTGATTGTTATGTTGTATCGAACGTAGCGCGCTGTCCGCATTCGCCATTCCGCTGACCAAACGCCCATCCGCTCGAGCACAATGTGGACCGGTTTGTTGGGTTCCAGTTTGACGAGAGGATTATCCGGATTGAAGAGACCTGACCAATGGAGTGCCAGTGATGAAGGGATAAGTTGAATACTAAGCACTGATGGAACATAAAAAAAACCCCGTCAAATTGCTCTGAAAACGAAAGTGGGATCAAATAGAAAGGCAACACCCATCTTTCATTCAGAGATATTGTTTCCACACGAAATATGGCTTCTATTGATCACAACGGATGAGTTGTACGCAGAGGGTTATTAAATGAGTTTTGAATTGGCCAAGTAGAAAAAGGTTTTGATTGATACAGGCCTACTGAATACCGCCAATTCGCTTCAAGGTCCTACGGGTAACTATATTGTCAGGCTCTGCATGAAGAGCGAATCGACCATGGTGACTGATATTTTGTTATTCGGAACATCACCCGAAAGCGATATCACCCGCGATCGGAAATTTGGCCAGCAAAAGCGGGGATAAATGAGTATTCGTGGATGAAAGGTAGAGGTTTACACCCCTGCACCATATTAGTTAACAGAATTGGTGGACTGGTTCTTTCACGCTGTCCTACGTAGTGAAATCCACTTACGGGTTCCCAAAATGCAAGTGCAGTCGAATAGGAAATGTAAAAAGCCCACTGAGTCATACTGTTGTGTGTGACGACAGTAAACAACGGTTACCTGGCGCCGTTGATACTCACCACATGCTGTACACCCTTCCCATCTGAACCTCGGAAAACTCAAACGAAATCAGTCATATTAGAGAGGTATTCATTACATGGGGTAAGTCTAATCTGTGTGACCGACTTCCCAACCTCAAGGCCGTACTAAAGATGGATTAGCTTCAAGCAAGTTCGTTTGATGGAGTATTATATTTTATTAGCATCTGAGCAGACCGGAGTGGCAAGGCGATACATATGGCAGGATATAAACATGCAACCAGGACTTTTGTGTGCTTCGTAAAACAGTAGCATAGTTAGGAATATTTTGCACGGAATTTAATGCAAGTGCGAAAAAATTTGAACCGTATATTTCTGGCCTGTATTCTAGTTTTCCTGCAAGAGTTTTCACTCAATACTCTAAGGGATAGTGCAAAGATTAAGAGAAGCCCTATAAAGCAATATTCATATACGTGTCCCATTGGTATCAATGGTCTAAAGGATAAAATGAGGTGTAATAATTCAATTAGTGCATTCGTTCTACTGTATTCCCAATAGCACACTTCATGCTTCCACATACAGTGAGAATGTTACGGAGCGAATCTTCCCGACAGATTCATTCAACTCAACGCATGTTCCCCTGGCTTCAGTGCTGGGAGTCAACAGTTCCCACCCAGGAATTGCGAGCATCAATACAAGTATGCAGTTTTCCTGCGAGGCGCCTTTGGCGACAAGCGTTCATGTGAGACAGTGTTGCAGCCATATCGCATTTGATGGTGGACGAATTCAATGATCACTGATTTAGTTTTCCACTTACTGACACCGTACTCAAACAAGTTATTCAGTTCTACACCTAGTGAGCCAATGTACTTATCAACTCTAGTCTGGGAACTCGCCAGCGACCATCGTTCATTACAGGAGACATCAGAAACGATCAAGGATGAAGCCAACGTTTTTCACCACCACATTAGTTTGTTTCGTGGATTCCACCTGATATGGTCATAACGTCCGAAGTAAAAGCCTCGTGATATCAGTTCTGTACAGGCCTGGGGTAGCGTTACCTCACTATGTCCGTTTGGGCACGCGAGCCCCTTCCCGAGAGGTCTGTGGTTCGACTGTTTCTCCCTCAAGTTGCACGATTCGGAGGTATTGTGTATTATTTGGGCTCGTTATACATAAAAAGGTACCACAGCAGAGATTCTTTTGGCACTTAGGCAAAAGAAGATTCACGTGACTCGCGGTTTGCCAAGTCGGACGGCCGTTTTTTACGGATCGCAATTGAAATCTGAATACAAATATTACACCCTTATTTTGAACGTCGAACCGGCGATGCACTTGACAATAATAAATTTTGCATTTTGCCCACTAACTCAAACTCAATCGTTTAGTAAAAGTGGTTGATTCGCTAAGTAAAATTGAAGGGAACCATTTAGTTTGCGGCGAGCAGTGGAAACTTACTGCAAAATTTGCTCCTGATGTTTGTCAGCATAAAAAAACACTATCTGGTCATTTTACCTCTATCTAATTTGTAGTTGTATAGGAAGAACTGTCGGACGTGACTACAATGACTACTTCCGTGCACCTGCAAGTACACCTCGCCCCATAATGTCACCCACCATGTTTGATTTTATCATCAGTTTCGCAAGTGATCCCCGTGGAGGACCTTCATTGTTTCATATTGAGTTGATTCGCTACCGCTACTGGTTTCCGGTTACATGCACTGGTATTTGTTAGCATAGCTACATACAAGAACCAAGTATTCTCTCTGGATGACCCGCACTTTTACTGTCGCAATCAGAAAAAAAGCAAGTTTGGGTTGGGGGATAGTCTCAGCCAAAGAACTGCGTGTTGCTTAACAATTTCCCTAGGGCGAGCCAGCAGATAGATGAGAATTCTGGAATTCAACTTTAATCCGGATGAAGAGACAACTACACGTAATTTGGCTCTCTTCAGTACCTTGTGCTTTTGTTTAGTATGCTACGAGTATATAGGCAAGGCACACAACATCCCACTAGTTCGGGATATCAGTTATTTCTGGTTTCCAAACACGCACACTCGTTTGATGTTTTATCTACCCATGTCCGACATGGACCTTCATTACGCATTGGACGCTTCAAGAGTGGCTGCGTCAACCGGTGCACTGGGTGCTTGAATACAGCCAGCTTTTAAGCCCACAGTCAAGACCCGACGAAACAATATTCTCCTACAGATCTTATCATTTCCGCCATTTGACCTGCTTACAAATGCCTCTAGGGAAACGACGTGATGGGAATCTCTGTTTAGATTACTCACTGTGAGCGGCGCGGAACAAGCGCAGCAGAATTTGGTTGACTGTCGAGAGGATATGCAATGCCCACAAAGCCAATATTTCTTTTCTGCTAAAAAACGGTCGAAAGGTAGATTCGCGATCACAAGTACTCTGTGATTTGAGTCGAATTTGCGTATGCTTCTTGCAAACCCCATAGTTTGAAAAGAGGAGCGTCAGAATCCAATGGTGAGGCAACATATGCAGCATTTTTGGACCGATTGTAATGTTCGTGTCCAGAAGCAAGGCGCTTAAGAACGCAAACCTGGTGAAATCATCTATTCTGTGAAACCATGAACGAGCAAGGGCTCTTAGTGTGTAACATTTTTACGGCATGTGCAGAGATGTATCACCAGTGGCAACAAATTACCGACACAAGTGGAAGAATGTACAGCTTGGTGAACCCAAAAATCTGCCGCAGGATTATTGGGCGATGCAACTCGTGTTTTGATACATGTACTCACATATTTATTCTGAACAGGAGTCTGTACGTTAAAGATTGAGTTTTTAGAAGTAATACTTGGAAAATTAAGATGGAATCATGAGGAGGGATGTGGAAATGAGGAAATAGGATCAAAATGTAACTCAGTGATAGAACGCAGATACTGTGGCTAAGATCGTGTAACACAACCAGGCACTGTTCCAGTAGTAATCGAATAGTGCATTTCTAACTCAATGTTCGCTGACGCAAACCAGAGATAAGGCGAGGATGTTCTTTATACAAGATGTTCAACGTGTTAACATGTCCGGAGATCATTCTTTTATTAATAACATACACAAACTTTCACAAACCGCATGAAGACCCAATAAAACGCTAGGATTGTGAAAACCTCCTGTGAATTATTTCAGAGGGGTGTGATAAACAGTCGGTGGATTTATTGCTGGGCAACGTTTCGCTTTTGACACAAAAGCTTCGCCAGGCCAAGTGAGTGAGTAAGTAGGTTGATTGGGTTTTAAGGCAGTCAGGGAAACAATCCGTGGGATTCCTTATGACTAGTGACGTGATCAGTGCTGGGTGTTCAGTCTGATGTCCCTGTTTATTGATTAGTGGGGATGACTAAGCTTTACGATAGATTGGTTAGAGGGAAGTTCGTCTTTATGATGAACCCGGATTTTTTCGTCCCTGCTTCTTCAGTCTAGGACACCTTAATGGAAAATTCCTCTTGGGGTCGTTCACAGATTTCGTTCACCTGTGTTCGTCCAAGGGTGCTGGGACAATTAGTTTGGGGATGGGGGTGGGGTGGTTAATTGGATCTAATGCTACTTGGATTTTTGTACTTTTAGACCCTGGCGATGTCGCTGATAACTGCACACCGCCTCGTGTCATCTCGGCTGATCTAAGACCGCTCTCCACACGTTTGCAAGTTCTACACCCTCTATTCTATTCACACTGGGATGCTTGGTGATTTCCCCCGCCTCGGCCACCAGTCGCTGTGGTGTGAATTTTAAGCCCCGTCTCAGGATGTTCACATTTTCTATATCTATCCTATGCCCAGTGTCTAGAGCATGCCCTGCCATTGCTGAATCTTTGACTAACGCCTGGTATTCCTCTGCGTTTCTCGGTGGTTTGTTAATAGAACGCTTATGCTAACCGATTCTGGTGTGCAATTTCCTGGCTGTCTGACCTATATAAACCTTCGTACAGTCGTTACATTTTATTTTGTATACACAGTTCCTAGTCCTGTCAACCGGAAGGCGATCCTTTAAATGCACCAACATCGAGCGTAAAGTTTTCCCCTTCTGGAAAGCTACTCTAATGTTAGTCGTATTCAGTACTTTTCTAATGACTTCAGATGTCCCTGTTTTGTATGGAATGACCGCTGTTCCGATGCACTCCTTGTTGGGCCTTGGTGTTGGCACCAATACCCGTCTTAGTTGCCGCTTAATTAAACCCACTGGGTATCCGCTATCCTGAAGTCGCTTTTTTACCTCAAGTTGTGCTGCTCTTCGGTCGACCTCCTCTGTACACAGTGCTCTCACTCTCCTAAACATCGCTGAGGCTATGCTAGCATACACTGCTTTTGGATGTGCAGAGGAGTAGTCTAAGACCGCACCACTATCTGTTGATTTCCGGTATACAGTGGTTTTTAGTTTCCCACCACTTTTGTGTGTCATGCTGTCAAGGAAAGCTAGTGTACCCGATGTGGACTCTAGCTCCATGCTAAACTTAATGTGAGGGTCCAATGTGTTCAGATGTTGAAAGAATTCGTTCACCTTAGCCCACTTTATTACAACGAACGTGTCATCTACGTAACGCCAGAACACCCTTGGTGGACACTTGAATCCATTTAAAGCTTTCTGTTCGAAGTCTTCCATGTACATGTTGGCCAAAATCGGGGATATTGGTGATCCCTCGGCTAAACCTTGTTCTTGACAGTATATAATTGAGTCAAAAACAAATTGACTGAGGTTTAGGCATAATTTTTATGCCTTCAACTATCTCGTCAACAAAAACAAATTGACTGAGGTTTAGGCATAATTTTTATGCCTTCAACTATCTCGTCAACAGACGTAAACAGATTGAAGGTGACGTGCTCTTGAACTGAAATTCCAAAGAAACACAATTGGATCGAAAATCCCAAAGTAAGGCTTTGTACTCTGAGGGTGCAAAAGGCATGCTGGAACAAAGGACCGCTTCCGAAGTCCTGTTTAGAGCTAACTATATGAACTCATCATCATCACTGACAGCAATACAGCAGTGGTACATACTGGTGCCAAATTACCATACGGCCATGAGGAAGGGAAACTTAGTAAAAAAAACGGAAAGAAAACGGGAGGATCTTCTCATATCCGTAGGGAAAACGATGAAAAATAAGAAGCCTACGCCATTGGACAATATTAAAACAAGCAAATCTGAGCATAATGCCGAAGCAAGACGTCAGCGGGACTGACTGAGTGTCCCTCGTGAGCTTCACCTGACGTAAGTTACGATAGGCAAAAGTTAGGTAGACAGTTTGGCTAGAAGATGGCAACACGAGTTTACGGGATTGACAGACTGGTAAGCATTTAGTAATAAAACGATGTTTGTATAGTTCAAGTTCATTGCTTTTCCAAATGATACATCGATTCTAGATTTTCAATTACTTAGTAGATGAGTTTCATGGTTCTATCAATGTTATAGCTCAACAAAAAGCTGACATAGATTAGATTTGATGAACCGTACTTAGCTATGGGAAAATTTTCCGAGTTGACTGTAAATTCCATCGAGAAGTAAGGTATTTTGGATAAAAACCAGACCATATTAACCAGCAAGGGGAGGGATCCGCTTTATTCGCTTTAAATCTACAGAATCAAAGGCTCAATTGAAGTAAAGAAAAATCGCGACTGTTGGTCGGCGGCACACGTGACACTAATCACATATTCGATTGTGTGGTGATTCGATCAATGTACTTCTTATGTGATGGAAATCCTGCTTAGGCGTCGCAGTATCAGGGAAGCTGGTAAGTTTGACATGAAGGTGTGAGGCTGATAGCCCTATGGTTAGAACAGTTGCTTCGGGTGCCTTTGTTGAATGAAGTCACCTTGACTGACTCACCCCAGTTCGCTGTAATTCATTCTTTAAAAAAGTGAAGATAGCGAGCATGGCGACCTAACACCTTCTTTGAATAGTGATAGTAGAAGTCCATTTGGCGGAGGAACATGGTGCGTTACAACACAGGAAGGCATGCTGAAAATTCGCAAACTGAGAGAAGTGGTCTAGCGGACAGGCAACGGCTCGATAGCCGCGCAGGGATTTTGTTTACCGGATTATGCGCTGAACTACGATGGGACACAACGCTTCGTAACAGAGCGCCGGTGACCGTTCTGAAACCGAGTGGTACAAATTCATGCAAAGCTGTGGCTATCTACTTCCAGTAACATCACAGAGACAGCAACCTCAGTGTTGATGCTTCACTGCCGTATAACCATAAAGTTTGTCTAATTATATTTCACGCCTTAGAATGAAAAGAAAAGAATGGGTGAGGGAGAGGAATGGTGATGGCCTATCGCAGGTATTCTGAGGTGCCTAGATCTCCAAGCAGCCAAATAAGACAATCGGGAAAGAAACCGATAACACGAACGCCGATGACACCGATCAGCCACCATTTCGAGCAATGTCTCCGGCCAAGTGCAGGAGGGGTCACGGGAACCCCATCCTGGGAAGCGTAATGGACCAACAACACCCAAAAATCTTAGTAATCTTCTTCACACCTTTCTGCCAAGTCATATATTGTCCACCTCGCGATTTGCACCATTCGGACACAGGCGAGTACGGGTATGCGGCGAGCCTTCACCCGAGTTTATCACGCGATTCGAGACAAGCCTGTCCTATCTGACCTTTCCTCTCCGACTTTGTTATTGATGCACTGCTTGAAATTTCTCTGCCTTGAAAACTCGGGAGTCGAGATGATCGCGGGACGTTCGTTCATAGACATTGAGTTTGCGGATGATATTGCTCTCCTTGGTTCAGATCATTCTCAAATGCAAATGGCTTTAAATATCCTAAATAACTCTACCGCGCTTCACACTTGCAAAGTGTAAAGACTCGGCTGCATCAAACCCAAACCTCTTGCTTGTAGAAGAACCAACCGGTAAATGAAGTTGTTTACCTGGACAGTTGTATAAGTTTTGGTGGGCGGGCTGGAGATGAGATTACTTCTGGAATTGGGGAGGCCAGGGTATCTTTTACCAATCTCCGACACCTATGGCGCCGACGTGACGTGACTTTGTCTGTCAAGGGCAGAGTTTGTACTACGGCAGTGTATATTGCTTTATGGATCAGAGACGTGGCCTCTACGCGCAGAGGACATACAAAAAATGTCAGTGTCTCCGGAGCATTGGTCAAATCTGGCGGGGATATCGGTTAATAATGTTGAGGTACGCCAGATGGTCTTAGGAAGAAGGAACTCACACTTTATTGCTTAGGACATGTACTCCACATGCCAGAAGACCGTCTGCTTAACAGAACTCTTTTCGCCCAGTTCTGTGCTGAATGAAAGCGACCGAGAAGTGAACAGTCTATGACCTGGCAACGAAGTATGAAAACACTAACCAGTAAGTGAGTCGGATCGACAAGTGATACCTCCCTGGGTGGCCCCGTGGTGCAGTCAGTGGCGCCCGCGCATCAAAGCTATCGCCTTCAATATGCAGCTACCCAGTTCCCGAACTAAATGAACATCCCATCGCCTCCGAGGCCTGGCCGTATCTCCCGCAATCTCACACTCTCGGGTGATCGAAACTGTAGCAGTCGGAACCAATGTGCCTATGGTACATGGTTTATAGCTGATAAATTGAAATGAATGAAATTGAATTGAATCTTGAAAGTGTGAGAATGAATGGCTGGTGCTAATTTCCCTCGAACGTGGTATTCTTTATATGCTTATACCTTCGAAGCGTCGGCTCGAAACGCTGGTTTTGATTGACGGTGATAATGGCGATGATAAGAGTGACGGTGGTCAAGGTAGTACAGTTTGTGTGCTTCTGAACTGTTTCTCGATTGGAGCAAAACATTCGGTCGTTAATTCTCCCAAGTAAAACACACATCATCGTGAAGATTAATAGGAGGCCGGAACTAACGAGAATTCACTCCACGCACGGGGCTTCGAAGAAGACAGACAGAAGTAATCAATCAATTCACCACAGTAAATTGATTGCCAGACTGTATGCATTCATCCTTAGGAAGACCTCAATCAGGGAGGGGGAGAGATGAATGATGCTCTGACTTGGATACGAAACCTTGTCCAAAATTTTGATCACCCTACAACAACAAGTGTCAAGTAGTGGGTTCAGTTCCCTGGTGAACTAACATTTGCGTGATAAACACGCTCAAGTAAGCACCAAAATTAGGCATGTTGAACGTAAGTCACACAACAACAGAATGATCAAAGCTCATGCGCGGTCCACCATAAAAAACAGCAGAGAGGATTCGCTGGAATAACCTGGCTGGGTAGTTTTCGATGTTTTGCGACAGTGTTGTAGACAGACTCGAATGCATGGTCTGTGTGGCAATGAGTACTGGAAACCTACCTATGATAGCAGGGTCTTGATCAAACCGTTCCATAAGGAGAACGCCAAGGTGTTGTTTTTCGGCTGAAAATCGCAAACAAAACACTATCAGGTGGTGACAGGTAACTTATATAACACGTTAAGGGCAAACATGAAAGGAAGACTGGTAGTTTGCAGTGTAAAAATTGAGTCCCATACACATATCCGACACCAAACTTGGTAGTAAAACAGAGACCCTGTTAACTGTCATTGAAGGCTCTTGGTGTAAAAGGTGCTAGATGTCATTCGCTAGTCTTATGGGTGAAAGTAAATAGCGTCCACCTCAAGTGGTTTTTGCAGTTGCTACGGTTGAGTCGGGGCCTGAGAAGCGAACAAGAATGAGAAGTATTCTACACATGTCCGCAATAGTCTCGTAAAAGCCACACAACTACCAGATTCACAGCGTTAGAGGGGTTGCACGACTGTGGGCCAATATGCATCAGTTGTTAGATGAGTAGGATTTCGGGGTTGTAGGCTACCGAGAGGACAGCAAATAAGCGTAGGAGTCACTGGGCACCGATATCTTTGCTCAAGAAGCATGGGTGAGAGAGATGGACATTCAAAAGTGGCCCAGTGGATTATTACCAAAACCTAAAATGCAGGAGAAACTGGCTTGTTTGATAAAAGACGCATGTGTTTTTTCGTTGAACACGCATCATCAGCGGGGCTGTTTTTCCACACGACCACCAGTGTTTTTTTTCGGGAAACACTACATTCCAACGCGTGTCACACTTATTAAAGTATTTTCAAGCTATCTCATCAGCAAAGGATACTTTAATTTACTTATTGTCCAAACGACAAACAAGCTTACCTACTCAGTTGGTGCTGTATATTTGATTATTACGGTCGTGGGGAGTAGTGAGTGTGGTTGTTGCTGATCATAATCACTATCCTTGCTATATTATAGCTAGCAATCATAGTTTTATGGCCGAATTAGGGCAAAGGTACAGATAGGTGTTGTGAACGATTTGAAGTTCATTAATTCTGACAACTGAGGTAACGGTGGGAACAAAATTTGACACAGTTAACAACCTCACTACAATGGTTTAGAAGAATGCCAGGAAACGATGCGCATGGATGGCATAACAAGGAAGTTGGACCGACAAGGTGGAGTACATACAAATCCATTCGTATGACGTAGACAAAATGATAGAACCGGCGTCTATGGATGTCAGCAATCCTTTTCAATGAGGGCGACACCGCAGTTTACACAACTTAGTTGGAAGGCATACATAAGTTGTTCCACTAAATGACAATGAAAAGTGGGAACCGATTTACCGGGACAATCAGATTGCACCGTTCTTAGGGTAGAGGTACACTGCTTCATAAGTGTGGAATCACCATACCTGGAATGTGTAACGACATTACTATTTTCGTCCATAAACAACAGTTAGAATAACAAGCACAAATCTCGATAGGAGCAAATCAGCACACAGGAAAAAAGTGTAAACAGTATATGTACAGAAAGAGAACACCCAAGGCGTTACCAAAAAAGAAACGAGCAAGAGCTGTGGTTACGGAGCTACTCTACTCACCAGAAAACGAAATAGCCAGGACCAGGGCAAGCAGGAAAGCAAGCAGAAGTATACTGATGATCCAGTAGTACCAGGGGCAACGGCGTTTAGAGGATTTAGGGGCCTGGACAACTACAGTGTCCTGAGATGCTGCACCAGTAGCAACCTGGGGTTTGTGCTGTCCGTAGGAGCCAAGGGTACCACCATGCGTCATGTAGGTGGGGTCCATGGAGCGAGCGTTAAGATCACAGCTTGGGTGATTGGGGGGTGGAAGGGGAGGAATGGGGTTTGCATTGTGGACCAGTGTGACCGGAGTGACCTCATCAGATACTCCAAAAGGCTGGCGTACTGGGATCGTGTGTGCGGTCTGAGAAGCTCCGTTCAAACTAAGTGTCAGACCATCACCCAAGTTGACGCCACTGTTGACCATACTTTGAAGACCATCTTCACTTCCGGATGGGGGAACGGTACCGGATAAGAGACTGTCAAAGAAAATGGTACAGTAGACGGTGGGGTCACTTTTGAACACTGAAATAGATACGATCGACAATGAGAATGAACCATATGAACCCAACTTTGTCCGGTATCTTTATCCCATTAGGTAATTACACACGTCAGCATAAGCCAACAGGGCAAAATGGCATTAATTCAACTAAACAAAAGCTCCCTAGTGAAAAATGACCTTACCGAAATATGGCCATCGGATCTTTATGGGGATTGGCTAAGTAGATCCACACGGCTGTTCGATTAGCAACTGCAGACCATCAACTGTGAGATTAAGTGTACGCCGAACAACGTCAGATACATAAACACTTCAAGGAACTGGGAATCACAACCAACTCAAGGAGCTAGCTGAGATGGTGATCCAAACTGAGAGTCTGGAGAAGTTCGACTACGCTGGCTAGTCGAAACCCTAATAGGTGTTTTACGAGCTTCGAACAACCAAAACAAGCATAGCACCAAGGCAAGTGGTTTGCCGGTATTATCGGCTCTAAGCTTCACCTAATACTAATAAGGACGATAATAATATTACGCAAGATATGATTAGAGCTGGGAAGCAATCCACTGAGCCTCTCGTTCCAGGTGGGACACATCAAACGGACGCAGCAGGATCGGTCACAAGTCTTTGTTTAAAAGTCTCCATCGTCTACAGCAACGTCACGCGGTCGCTCACCACCCTTGTGCACCAAGCAAACACTGCCCTGGCATTTTCTACTCGGGAAGTGATTTCGTCTCCCATCAGTTCGCCGGGACCTATGAAAATGTCCAGGTAGACGGACTTACTTACCACACGTTGAGATACGTTGATTGAACCAGCCAACCTAACCGCGTAGAGATGACTGTTTACTGAAATCCAGTCCAGTAAAGCACAGCCCCGGGGATCTGAGCCTCTCGTTCCAGGTGGGACACATCAAACGGACGCAGCAGGATCGGTCACAAGTCTTTGTTTAAAAGTCTCCATCGTCTACAGCAACGTCACGCGGTCGCTCACCACCCTTGTGCACCAAGCAAACACTGCCCTGGCATTTTCTACTCGGGAAGTGATTTCGTCTCCCATCAGTTCGCCGGGACCTATGAAAATGTCCAGGTAGACGGACTTACTTACCACACGTTGAGATACGTTGATTGAACCAGCCAACCTAACCGCGTAGAGATGACTGTTTACTGAAATCCAGTCCAGTAAAGCACAGTTAGCCCCGGGGATAGGCGCAACTCCTGCGCCGTAGAAAAAAGGAGCCATTCTACCAAGATCACCAGACACCCAAAGAGTACAGTGCGAGGAAGTTGGGTAGTGCCCGAGCGCCTTGCGACGAATAACCGAAATGAGCTATTGTACGCGTGTTTCGGAGACACAACGTACGTACATCAAAAGAGAACAAGGTCTGAGCAAGGGCTACCTGCTAAACAATTTGGCGTAGAGTGTGAACGTTCAAAGCTGCAATTCGAAACAAATCCCATAAATTTAATAAGTGTTAATTTCGACTTATTTTACTAGACAGAAGCTAGGATATGGAACAGCGGCTGGGCAATAAACAGTTAGATGGGGGCGGGATGTGTGAAGTCAATGAATGAAGACGTGTGCGGGTGACCGATACTCCCTTGTTGCTCAAGTCGAAGAAAGGGTTTGGTTGAGGTACCTCACCTTGAAACTTTGACTCAAAGGCCTGATGCACAAAGCAGTGGGGTGAAGACCCCGCCCCTAGCCTATGACAAAGAACCACGGGACACCGATTGGGCTTTCTGGAAAGACCCTTTCTGGAACCGATGACTCAGCAGTCTAACCCGCTTGGCCGAAGGGGCTGGACTGTCTCGAACGGGAAGGGAGCAGGACATAACTGCCTGACTCCTAACGCGGCTGCACACAGCAGGTACCTTCAAGACAGCACCAAACTCTGGTTTTTAGAGCATTTCGACCGGTCACGGTCAACCGTTGGGCAATCAAAGTGTGCGGTTTTTAGGGCCGACTTTTTCTTGTCCGCCTTTCCTCAGAGGGGGGCGGGATCACTGTTTCCACAAATATGGACATGCTGGTAGCCTGAAGGAAGCACACTCCTATCGCAGAAGTCGGTACAACTTTAACTTAACACTGATTTCTCACAGTTAGAGGATTCACCCTTCTTCGATGGCCTGCTCCCCACTAGCCTTTCTGGCGTTGTTAACCGTAAAGAAGCTGAGTTCCAGCCAGCATAGAAGCCCGATCACCAATACACGGTGGCAGATTTAGGTAGGATAAAGTGATAATCGTTCAGCCTTTCAGTGCCTAGCTGCCGTGCCACCCGGAGGAAATACGTGGGCTGAGATACTGCCAGGTTGCCTAAGCCTGGATAGGAGCAGTCGAGATGCAGAGGGTGGGTTCGAACCACGGACCGTCCGGTCAGTAAGTCCGCGTCTTATCAACCAAGCTGTATGAAAAACGTGTGTGTGGAAACCATGTGGCTAAGTAGCATCATTTGTCTTGGAAGTTGTACTGCACAGTTTGTGGTGAACACACCAGGCGTTCGCCGTGCGTCCAAGACAACCACTCAATTGAACTCCAGCAACTCTGGGTCTACATGCTTGCGTATTCGTACATCCAACAACCACAACAATATATGAGTCCTTGGGCCAGTGAAATAAGGCGCTTGGAGCGTCGTAAGAACTACCGTTGAGAATATCACAGATAGTCTGTTGGGGAATAAGCAGCCAAAGTGAACAGACAGCGATTATTTGCGAGTTTACGCGATACTCTCAGACATTGTCAAAGGAACCGCACAGAGGCGACTACCAACCGGCAGACAGTCAAACAGATACACTTCAACTAGGTGGCTTAGAACAATACCAAACCCAGCAGAACCAGCCGCAGCGGTTTCTGGACCAAGAGTTGTGTGCAACCAGATACCAACAGAAACCATACTCGAGTCGTGAACCTTCGTTTCAGACATACAGCACACATCCACAGAAACGAAGTCCAGGCTGCGGGCAAGAACAGTCCATTGACTAGCATGTTTCTCAGTGGCGACGTATTGGCTGCTAGATGAACCTTAGAGTTTGGAGAGTGGCCATGGTGACCGGGCCAACCGTAGATACTGCAGGTAACGGTAATGGACGACGACCGGATGTCAGCCCTTAGGGGCAGACCATGGAGAAGCCGCAGGTAATATCGGGAGGGGAAGAAGAGAGGATATGTGAAGGCGAAAGAAGGGAGTCGTCAGCAGTAGCTTTTTTCGCTTACGAAGGGAGTCGTCAGCAGTAGCCTGTTTTCGCTTACCCATCCTGCTGTATCAAGCAGGTGAGGTGACTCGGTTGAAGGTATCGTGTGATGAACGATGTATCATGAAATTGTAAATGTGCAATTTATGGTTGTATGTGGGCTAGGATATTGCCAGAGCGCCCAGATCGAGACAAGGGGACGACAGGGCTCCTCAAATAAAGCATCTAGCTAAAACGCCTGACCGTCAGGCGGTGGTGGTTGGCTTTAAACCGTCAGAGCAGCCTAAATTGTTAAGGAGAAAGTCACCACACATGTCCCAGCTCCCAACCTGGAGGACTGTACTGCGATTGGGTCGTCTATTCGCCGCGTCATTCGACAAGCACAGTTTGGAAGGCTTCCTCAAAATTGAGTCCACAGAAGATGGAAGAGGGCGCTGTGGATTGTTGATTCACTGTGAAAATAGTGAGAATTGCACGGTAAATATACTGTGTATGCAATCACCAGTACTTTCACTATTTCCAGTTGTAATTGCAGTCGTGATACCGAGTTACCCTATGGTAACATAGACCCCTCTATTCAATTTCACACCAGAGTGTGGAAGGCGATAAAACCACGAACATTCGTTGACTGATGTTGAAAGAGCTAATGAAAAGCTACCAGTGAACATTCTCATATCCTACTATCTGGATAACTAGATTTGTATGCCCTTCAGACAAAATGTGTGCGCAAAATTTTCTCCGCTAAAAACAAAAAATCCCGAAATCAAAATAGTTCAATGTGCCAACGAACGCAAATTTGATGGCGTCACTGGTTTTTCCAATCCGGAAGTCAATTAACAGGTACAACGAACCCATTACCCCCGGGTGAAAATGTTTGGTTGCCTGACTGGCGGTAATTAGAGGCGAGATACATAAAATGGAGGAATTTAGATTACCTCTGTAAATGCAGCGCTTCGACACTTCAGAGCTAGGCATTAAACCAGACTGATGAGCTAATCGACGGAGCACTTACGTAACAGATGTTTGCTGTTTATCAATAAAGTGTTTTGTTCGGACCGAAAAACGAACATCAAAAAGCAAATCAACAAACAGCGCGGTGACGTGTCAACAGTATTAGGAATGATTGGTCAAATGATCAGGTGGCGAAACGAGGCCAAACGTGTCCTTCAGTACGTGTAGTAAGCAGCTTAGAAAGGGACAGTTGGTTAGGTTTGTCGGTCATTCACCTAGAACCAACTTGACCGCAGTGACAGGTAACAGAATGCTTGGAAGATAACCTCAAGTAATCGAGATCAAACAATCGGTTATTTGAAGAAATTATAGAAATAAAGTGGATCTAGTTTTAAGAATCCCGTTAGTAGACGATTAACCTAAACAGCGCACCATTTTTGTTGTAACGCTGTATTTCAAACCCATTAAACGCTCCAATATGACTACATAACTGGTCAGATCTCATCTGTTTCAGCCGCTTTATTGACTTGACACTGACTGTAACACTGACGGTGTAGAGACGAGTAGTGACCGAGTACAAGTCCCGGGCTACGGGAATCGCGATCCAATGCATCAGGACAATCGGATGATCGGAGGGTGAGACGGCATTCTGAATTACCGAGGAATACGGCAACCCCTGATCAAGTGGCCTTAGATGGAGGTGGCCGCTTGAGGGGATTCAATGAAAATAGCTTAACTTCAGGCGCTAGTGATGGGACATTACATGAGCTGCCAAAATTCACCTGAAGGATACCCAGCTCCGAGCAACCCAATGGCTTTTTGTGACTCCCACAGCCCTTTCATCTTGTTTCTGTGGATTACATCCAGTTTTGAACAGTCATACAGTACTCTCACAAGAAGCACAGTGCTTAGACGGAACATCATACGTGGGAGATTCAGCTGGACTCGTTGGAGTCTTCGGTCAAAACCAAATTAGTGTGCAAAGGGGTGTATTTCACGAAGCATGGTGCTTATTTAGGAGCCCTATCTCGGGATATCAACGAATCTATAGACCAACACAGTTTTTAAGAAATGTCTATGTAACACTTGCGATGCGCAGGGAAGAGCATTTTGAGTGACAAAATATCCCCGAAATTTAAATTGTCTAAAGTATGGGTAAACAGGTACTTGCTTGGTGCACGAGTTTCACATCCTAAATGGACACTTTTTTCTTATCAAGTCAAATCCATGGTAATGTGGCATCAGTTGATGAGGATGGATTCATCTGACAGGATAACTACGTTCTGTCCTGATGACTGTGAGATGTTGTACAGGATCGGGACAGCATTGCTACCGACCAAGAGCTTTTGCGCACTAGTCTTGACATTGCGCGTAGTTCCTGTTCTGCCGAACGGGTTCGCCTACATCAAAAACGGCCCAGGCTTTTATTTATGACCACTAGATGAGTAAGCTGACGTGACTTAAACACCCTATCGCGATACTACCTAGATCACACGACCAAACAAAATGATTAAAACAAGTGGAAGTGGAAGAAAAGCAGGTCAAGCATATAAAATCCCATAGTTAACCGGAAACTACTCGCCCGCTACATGTGACTGGCTGACTGAAAAGACCTGATTGTTCCTCTGGTTTTTGAGCACTTGATGGACAAATGGAATTCCTAACCCCTAAAATTACTAGCTTGTTCCGAAATAGAATGGCTTCATGGTCAGTTCCCGCGCTCTAGATGTGTAAATTGTTCAAAAGTCGCCCATTAGCGAATTTTCAAAGTAGTCCAGAGTAGCGAAACGCACACTCGAAACAGCATTCAACAAAACGCGTAAAATCTAGGAGCTAGAGAAACATTTTACGTGGATTTGAAAAGTAAACCGAACAACAAATTGTGTGGATCTGCGCATCGGATAAAACGGCGATGTTCTAGATGCATTTCATGCTCACACAGCCTAGCTTGGTTGCAATAGTTTGTCACACGCGGCAGTGCAACATCAAGTATAGTTTGGGCTAAAAACACACAGAAAGCAGTGCGATTTGGGAATTATGTGACGTTCGTCTAGTCTCCAATAAAATAATGATGTAGTGCAATGGAAAGAGGGTGAGAGGA